TCGTGAAATTAATCCCCAGATGTGTATCTTTTAAATACTTTCAGGCAAAATGCTTAGAAACTGGAGAAACTGTGGCCATAAAAAAGGTCTTACAGGATAGACGGTATAAAAATCGCGAACTACAGCTGATGCGATTGATGGATCACCCTAATGTCATTTATTTAAAACACTGCTTCTTCTCAACAACTCCTAAAGATGAGCTTTTCCTCAATCTTGTCATGGAGTATGTTCCTGAAAGTTTGTACAAGGTCTTAAAGCATTACACTAGTTCTAATCAGAGGATGCCCCTTATCTATGTCAAACTGTACATGTATCAGGTACGAATCCCTCATATCATAATAACTCTATGAACTTGCTTTGTAAATCTGATAATGCTATTAATGGTGGCCAGATATTTAGGGGCTTGGCTTATATCCACAATGTTGTTGGGGTTTGCCATAGAGATGTGAAACCTCAAAATCTTTTAGTGAGTCAACATAGCTCTACCTCTCTTTTGTTGGACTTATGGAACTATTTGTCTAATTCTTTTGTTATATGAAGGTCGATCCACTGACCCACCAAGTCAAGCTCTGCGACTTCGGAAGCGCAAAAGTTCTGGTATGTTTGTTTCTCTGTTAGCAATACATGTTGAATCAATTTCATGAATCATGATAGATTGAGTTGGTGTTCACCCCCCGAGTACCAGTAGGAAGTCCTGAACTTTTTTTGGTCTAATAAAGAGTCTGGTTTCTAAAGTCAACATTCTTTTGAAGTAAAACTCATGTAGAACCAAGCTGCGAGCAAGTTAGTCTATCCCTCTAAATAGTCTTGAAAATAAGTTTTAGGAGTATAAGTGACCATTCATAATTTGTACTAAGAATTTGTGACTTGATTGAATTGACTAAAAATAAAATGCTGTAGCTTACTCAGACATGACCTTCTTGAGGACGTAGAGAGTTTTATTCTCCAACAGCGTCCTCATTGAACAGCATTTAGCACTTCTTTGACATGTGTATTTGTCGTTGGGAGTTCTTTCTATTTTACATAGTATATCCTCTATTCAGGTTAAGGGGGAATCAAATATTGCGTACATCTGTTCCCGCTACTATCGAGCGCCCGAGCTTATATTTGGTGCAACAGAATATACATCATCTGTCGACATTTGGTCAGCTGGCTGTGTCCTTGCGGAGCTACTTCTGGGGCTGGTATGCTTCATCGAATTTATCTGCAGTCATTAGTGTTTTTTAGATAATAACTTTTGAATATGAGTGCAGCCGCTCTTTCCTGGAGAAAATGCAGTAGACCAACTTGTAGAGATTATTAAGGTGCATATTTAATTTTAATATTAAATGTGTATGAAGATCAGGACCCCAGTTATAATGAGATTTGTCTTTTACCCTACTAATTAAGCATTTTATGATAGGTACTTGGGACTCCAACGAGAGAAGATGTTCGGTGTATGAATCCAAATTATACTGCTTTTAAATTCCCTCAAGTCAAAGGTCATCCTTGGCATAAGGTATTATTGCAGTTTTTTTATATATTAAATACTCCAAGGATGACCTTTTACTTCATTAGTAAGCATATCTTCGTTTTCTAAATTCTTTGGGTTCAGATTTTCCAAAAAAGAATGCCGCATGAAGCAATTGATCTAGCTTCCCGGCTACTTCAATACTCGCCAAGTCTCCGGTTTAATGCTGTGAGTTTAACCTTATCTTGATCTGAAGCTTAATATTGATCATTGCAAAATTCGTTTGATAAGTGTAATAAGAAATTATTGATTAGTAATCTTAAACACGTGTGAGTACCAAATTATTTACCATCTCTGCTAAATGCACATAAGATGTTTCATATCAGATAAACAACAATAAATATTACGAGTAGTAGTCTCTTGAAGATAATCTTTGTATTGCCATTTCTAATTGTTATGTTGACTTCTGCAGCTAGAAGCATGTGCGCACCCCTTCTTTGATGAGCTTCGGGGGCCCAATGCTTGCCTCCCAAATGGTCGCCCTTTCCCACCACTTTTCAACTTCAACCAGGAAGTATGACTTTACCACTCCTTGTTTCTTATATATATCCTCTTATATCCAATATAAATACTGGGAAGAAGAAGAACATATCATTCCTTGAAAAATCATCACTAATTTGTGGTCATCTGAAAGCATCTGCTTCCTAAATTACCTTTTTGTGTGTGGCTGTTTTATGTTTTTGTCCAAGTGATTTCATTTTTGCCTTCAAGAATGTTTTTCTCAAATTAGATATTTGCTACCGTTATTCTACCATATATCCATAGTGAAGGGATGACAATAAACCGATTCCCCCAACATCTTGATCTGCAGTTAGTCGGAGCTTCACCCGAGTTGATCAACCGGTTAATACCAGAGCATATCCAAAGGCAAATGGGGTTGAACTTTTCGCATTTTGGGGGAGCTTAATTAAGCATATGAAGTCAGCCGTTCGTCTCCCAGCGGAAACAACCAAAAGGGGTGACGCTAAAACTGTTTTGGCACGATAACCCCCCGGGGGGCGGCCCTGAAAAATCCCTACTGGATCTCTGTCTTGTTTGGTCTATTCCACCAGGAATCTATGTCGTTTTTTTGCTAAAGAGAGAAAGGTTCTTACCACCTGGTGTCTGTACATTGTTTTGGTCGAAGGATGATTACTAATCTGTGCCCACTTAGTTAGGTAGCCAGATTTGCTTCAGAGACAACTCATGGCTAAATATGTAGTTGGTTTATGTTTTATTTAAAAATTGTTCTTACTAATTTTTTGCATCATTCTGGACATCGTAGTTATTAAAATTTGGATTAAGTATGTTTTTTTCTTCCTATAAATTTTTTTCAGTCATTCTTTCAAAAAAAATATTTTAAAAATGATCTTTAAATGTAAGTAGCACTTCATATTAGTTGAGATATCACATTTATTTAATACTCAATATCCAAGTTTTGTATTTCTAATTACTTTTGAGATAATTCCCGGAGAACATATTTGTGTCCTTGTTCATATTAACATCTTCAATTCCATTTTTTTGGAAATATAATGTACGGAGTAATAAAATATGAGAATTGAGAATGTGATTCAATAAATGTACTATACAATTTACGTATGGGGATTATGTGTGTGGCAAATAGAAATGAAAAACAGAATGTTCTGTATGAAATAAATGTGTTATTTTAATAAATTAGAAGTGTTAATTATATTTAAGGATTATTTTTAAAATAAAAACTTTGGTAAGGATAAGTTTTAAAAAAAATGGAATATTTGCTCTTAGCTTAGTTGTAGTCATAAAAAATACTGCATAATCTCGATCAATCTACCCCTAATAGCCTAATAGGCCCTAAGGTGTGCTGGTGTAGTGCCCAGATTTTGGAACGTTTGCTCTTTTATCCTCTTAAATTTTATGTATTTCGAGGCAATTCATTTTACTATCTTTATATCTTATTCTTACATAATTTCATTGATAACTTGACTAAAAAATAAAATCATGTCACCTATCATTTTTATTTTTTTTACAATACTTACTCTGATAATCATTTTTATACTAATTTTAAAATATATTAGATTAAAAATAAACACACTCGGAAATTGTAAAGTGGCGTTAATTTTAGGACAGGTAGTATGGATGGATATTTGTTTCCAAATCACTAAGTGTTCGAAGATAATTTGGAGCCATAAAATATTAAATTGATTGAAATTCTACTAAATACTTAAAAAATTGGTAGATTAACAAATAAAATAATTTAGAAAAATGATAGATTAACAAATAAAATAGTCACAAAATTTACAAACTTACTTTATTAAAAATCTCGTTAAAAGGAGAAAATAATCTTAAACTAAAATATAAAAATATTTATTCTCAAAGTATAACTTCGGGAATTTTGTAGTCATTTTGTTTGTGACTCTAATATTTTTTAAATACTCATTTAATACATTTATTGAAAGTTAAGCATTCTACAAGTACACTTTTTCATCAGTAACTTCATAGTTGTTATAAATGGACAAATTTTAAAAAACATGGAGTATTACAGAACCAAAGAAAAAGTGAGAATAGGAACTTGAAATAGACTATTTGAGGAATAATGACAAAAAAACAGATTCAAGATTTCTCAATGGTGATACCAGTAGTTACTAGTCACTCCAGCTGCCTATAGTATTGTCCACAGTCAACGGTCAATGTTTGACTCTGAACTCTGAAGCTGCTTCAGTTTCGACATTTTCAGTCTACAGAATTTACTCTGTTCTTCACCTCTCTAACAAAACCTAAAAAAAAAACAAATTAAAAAAAAAAGAAAAAAACTTCGCTACTGACATCATCCATTCATGTAGTATTCTTAGACTCAAGAGCGGGATGTTGGAAAAAACTAAAAAAAATAAAAGAAATTGAAAAAACTGGAAGAAATTGAAAAAACTGAAAGAAATTGAGACAAATTGAAAAAATTAGAAGAAATTGAAAAAAAATGAAAGAATTTAAAAAAAAACTTTAAGAAACTGGAACAAACAAGAAAAAAACTTCAAAAATTTATTTAAGTGCATTTTACATAGTCTTGTTGTTGTTGTTGTTGTTGTGGATGTTGTTGTTGTTGTTGTTGTTATTATTATTATTATTATTATATTAACAAGAGGTAAACAAAATGAATAAAATTCGACCACATGATTAGTATACATTCATTTAATTAGGAAGAGAGAGAGTCATAAATTTATTATTTTTTAATATAAAGTATAGATGTTTTTCTCAGGTTAATTTGGATTAATAAAATATCTATAATTTTTGGAACATATTTTAGTGTCATTTTAAAAAACAATTTTTCCAATAAAACTGTATTCCATATTTTTTATATTAAAAATGAAAAAAATAATGAGTGATTGAGTGTGATCACAAAACAATGACATGAGAAAAGTAAAATAGAGTCATTATTTGGGAGTAAAAAAGATTGAAGAAAATGAAAACAGTTGAGAAAAACTGGAAGAAGCTAAAAAATTGAAAGAAAGTAGAAGGAACCAGAAAAAACTGCAAGAAACTAGAAAAAATTAGAAGAAACAAGAGATTTTAAACTCTAAAGAAGGGGTTCTTAGTAGTGACATGTTGGAGACCATTCCACACTTACCCTCTACTTATGAGAGATTTTGAGTTTGAGTCAAAGTAACAATAAAAGAGACGTGATTTCACATATTTTGAGCAGTTGAAATATATCTAACGCCCCGCTCTGAAAAGCTTCTTTTAACGCATTCTGGGCGTTAAACACCGCCCTCATTAGTTTCAAAGTTGTTGAAATATTTGAATAATAATATTGCACTTTGAATTATGGAGTACATGATAGAGTATATATAGGAAAGACTCCTAACACAACTAGGAATAGAGAATGGAAACTAACATACAACATCTACTACAAATAGGATTAGGAAGCTGACTAATAATGGAACACTACCATAACTAATACTATAAAAAGTACTATTAGTATTATTGTCTAACATGCCCACTCAAGCTGAACTCTGGCTGAAGCAAGAGTAAGCTTGGACACTAGCCATAAACGGAAAACTTTGAGAAGAGAGAAGTCGGACGTGCGCCGGTGGCTGCTGACGTCGTTGGAGAGGAGAGAAGGTTGACGTGCGCTTGTACCTACTGACGTCGAAGAAGAATAGAGAAGGCTACTTGAGGTGCCTATTTGACTGAAGATCTTTGACATTCTTTGTCTTTTTCTTGGATCCGGGCAATGCCCTATTTCCTTCTTGAAGGAGTGAGTTGTAGAGGTCTTCTTTCCTCTTTCACTACTTCCCCTCTTGACTTTACTTTTGTACTGATTTACTTTGAATTTTTTGTTGGTTGAATAAAAGAGAAAAAGAAGGAAGATTGATGATTAGAATGAGTGATTTGAGAGAGAAACAAAAGTGAGTTAAGAAATGGTGATGGAAGAAAGATTTGGGTATGAGATTTTAATATGGTGAATTGGAGAGAAATAACAATTTTTTTCTCTTTTTTTAGAAGATAGGATGAGTTGGGAGAGTTTGTGAGGAGTTGGAGTTTTTTTAGAAGAACCATGAAGATGACAAGAGAGAAGTTCCTCCTTTGATGATTTTTTTTGTGTGATTTCAACAAGGTTTTTTTTCCTTTTTTCATTTGAATGAAGCAGTTGATTTGAGGATAAAAGAAAGAAAAGAAAATAGAGGTGACTGGGGTGGAGTCGCCAGAATTACCGGCGGAAGCGGTGGGAGCAAAGAACCTTTTTTTTAGGTTGCCAAGAACGGTGACTCTAATACCATGTTGAAATATTTGAATAATAATATTGCACTTTGAATTATGGAGTACATGATAGAGTATATATAGGAGAGACTCCTAACACAACTAGGAATAGAGAATGGAAACTAACATACAACATCTACCACAAATAGGATTAGGAAGCTGACTAATAATGAAACACTACCATAACTAATACTATAAAAAGTACTATTAGTATTATTGTCTAACAAAAGTTATGAGAGTTTGACTCCGCTTTGTAAGTATCGTTAGTTTCAAAGTTTTCTAAAAATCATAGCCCAAGTTGAGTATGATCAAACGGGCAAAGTAGGGGCAAGTGGTGTATTAATTCGTATGTCTAAGTCGGAGGTCAAGGTTTCTTTTATTGGGGCGCAATACGGTGAATCGACTAGTATACATATTTACTCTCTAAAATATCGCCCGAGTGACGTAGCTTAGATGGTTGAGATGCGAGTGACAAAGAGCATAAACTAGAGTTTGACACCTGATATTTGGCAAGGCGATATATATATATATATATAGTGACCACGTTCTGCATGAGATTCTTGCACGTACCATGGACACACTCCACTTGACCACTTCTTATCAACTATCTTCACTTAACTCTTCTTATCCTATCTTTCAGACTGATACTGGCCATATGGGAGACCCCAGGGATTGAAATTAAACCCTTTTCTTTTCGCTTAATTAATGTGGTAGAGGAAATTTCGAGAGAGAGCCTCTCGGGTACCAGACTTCACACATTGTGGTGAATCAATATCTTCGGTGTGTTTGTTCTTGCTTTTTCTTTATTCTTTTTTCCTTCACCGCTTTATTTTCGCTCTTATCCCTCCAATGCTTTATTTATCTTGCAAAAAATTTTAAGCATTTCTTACAATGTTATTCACCCCTCTAGTGTTGGACATACTTTTTAACCCATGTTATAACTTAGAATTAATTTTGTTAAATATATATGAATAACATGTAACTAAAACTCAATTTTGCACACACACACAAATTGATTTTTCTATTAGGTATATATTTAGTAAAATAGTTAAGTGAAAGATTTCAACAATTATATTATCATTACTAGTATTTTAACCCGTGCCATGATACGGGGTGAAATGATTGTTTTTTCAACTTTACAATTTTTATTTGCTACAACATTTTTTAAAAACCGAACAAAATAAAACATTGGCCTTAAAAATTAAAATAATGATAATATATACTCCTTCCGTTTTTGAGTATTTGTCCAGTTCTGATTTTTTTCAAACAAAATTGGTAAATTTTCTTTTGATACAAAAATGGTTTTATTAGATTTATTATATGAAATATTTTCAAAATATTATTTTATCTAATTAATGTACAATATATATTTCATTTAATTATATATCAAAGATTTAAAATGGTTGACTGAAAAAAATTAAAACTTGACAAATACTCAGGGGCAGAGGTAGTATAACATTTTCTAATGAAAATTTTTCCTATGTACATTTGAAAATAAGATGTTAAAGTCTTATTTGAATTAGAACACTTTGAAAAACTTGGAGGTATTCAGCATTTTTTGTGACGTGTTAAAGAC